GCTGAAAGAGCTGGCGGAGGTGCTCTTCGTGCTCCGCAGGCGTTCTGCTGGCCACCAAAATGTCATCCAGGTAGACAAAGATGAAAGGAAGACCCCGGGTGACCTCATCCATGAACCTTTGAAAGGTCTGTGCGGCATTTTTCAAGCCGTAGGGCATGCGGACAAACTCAAACAGGCCGAACGGAGTTGTTATGGCTGTTTTTGGTATGTCCTGCGGTTCGACGGGGATTTGGTGGTATGCCGCTACAAGGTCGATCTTGCTGTATATTTTCGTACCTGCCAGCCGCGCGCTGAAATCGTGAATGTGTGGCAGAGGATACTGGTCCGGCGTTGTCGATGCGTTCAAGGCTCTGTAATCACCACACGGGCGCCAATCGTCGTCCTTAGGCACCATGTGTAGCGGCGATGAATAGTTGCTAGACGAAGGGCGAACAATTCCCAGCTGCAGCATATGCTCGAACTCCCTGCGTGCAGCTTGAAGCCTTTTGCTGGACAGCCGTCGTGGCCGGGCGGTGACTGGCGGCCCGGTGGTGACGATGTGGTGAGTCACGTTATGTTTCACCGGCTGTTCCGTGTTGCGGGGCTTGGTGAGCGAGGGGAATTCGGCCAGGACGTGGTGGTAGGCTGATACTGGCTGGAAGGCGCAGATGCCAGATGAGCAGATGTTTGACTCCAAACCACGTACTTTGAGGGATGTGTTGTTATCCTTGAGGCAACGGTCACGTACGCTCACATCCAGGTTGAAGTGGCTGAGAAAATCTGCTCCGAGTATGGCGAAATTAACATCCGCCACCACGAAGACCCAGCGAAACAGGCGCCTGAGTCCGACGTCTATTGTCAGCGAGCGGAAGCCGTACGTAGCGATGGCAGTGTTGTTCACTGCCTGCAGCGACGATGTGTTCTTGCTACGTCGGCGATCCTCGGGGGTTGCCGGGACAATAGAGATTTCGGCTCCCGTGTCGACTAGCAGGCGCGAGTTGCTTACGCGGTCGACTATGAAAAACAGGCGGCTGGGTGGAGGGCCGATGTCGTAAGCCGCCGTTAACGACTGGCCGGAGCGTTTCCCGGAAACGAGCAAGGTTGAGTGCAGCGGCTAGCACCCGTGCCGAAACGACGGTGGTACCAGCAAACTCCGTCCTGTGTATCTCGTGCATGGCTTCTCTGGGAAGAGCTTGGGTGTCTTGAAGGAGATCGGTTGCGTCGTTGCTCGTCCTGTTGGGGAGCACCAGATAGCACGAGTTTCTGCATGGTCTCGGTAAGGTGTTGCAGTTTCTCCTCAAGGCGCGACAGTCGATCTGGTTGCTCATGTGTTCTTGCAGCAGCTATGGGCGCAAAGGTTGGAGTTGAGTATTCTGTGATGCGATCGGCAAGTTGCGCTAGTCGATCAAGGGACGTCTCATTTGAACCCGCGAGAACCACGCGCACCGACTGGGGGAGCCGTTGCAGGAAAAGTTCACGAAGAAGTGGGAGCTGGCCGTCCTGACGCGCGTGCACACCGAGTAGTTGCCGCATACGGTGCAGCAGTTGGGAAGGTCGTTGGTCGCCCAGCTCTTCGCGACACAAGAGCTGCTGCAGTCTGCTTTCTTCAGGCGCCTCGAGGCGGTCCAGCACCGTCTTTTTGAGGGTGTCATATTCTTCTTGCGCGGGGGGTGAAACCAAAATGTCGTCGATAGCGTCGGCGATTTCGGGGGGCAGGGCTGCGACGACGTGAAGGTATTTTGTCGACTGCGAGGTGATGTGCCGGAGTTGAAAACGGGCCTCCACTTGGCTGAACCAAACTCTTGGATTTTTCGGCCAAAAATTTGGTAGCTTCAGTTCTGTGGCGATGACCGCAGGCGTGGAGGCAGCAGCGTTGTCGTCGGAGCTCATCGTGGCGTGTTCGTTGAAGCGTTCGGGTCACCAATTTTGTAGCGGCCGGAAATGTCGGCTGCCGGAGGCAGCGAGAAAGGAGACGTGAAGCAGGTTTGGAGTTGCAGGGCAAGACTGTTTATTTCCACTCCGTGCGAGTGACGAGAGCTCCCCTCGACGAGGGAGAGAATGAGGCACCCCCGCGTTCTTCTACAAGAAAGAGGAAAAGGGGGCCACCGAGCGAGCAGGCGTAGCATGCAGCCGGTCTAATCCCCGGAGCCGGCCCCGACAACACGTTGTTCCCCGAACACGGAGGAGGAGGAGCTGGCGCCGCGAGTAGGCGCGCTGTCGACGGCCGGCTGCAGACGGGATAGAAAAGAATGCGGTGGTGCTTAGCAGCTTCCGCTACACCAGCAACACAAAGATGCGAAACGGTACGACCTACGACATAAATTGGTAACCTACAAACCAGGCGGCAAGGTATGGGTCTGGATCCCAATACGTCGACGCGGGCTTTTAGAAAAGCTATTACGACGATACTTTGGCCCATATCGAGTCATCCGACGATTGAACGACATCAACTACGAAGTTATTCCCGACGGCGATTGCAGTTCCAGTCGCCGAAACTGCTCACCCGAAATCTTGCATGTCATCCGGATGAAACCCTACTTGTCCAGCTAACTCTCGTTTGTCCTGTGCGTGCCGGTGCATATGTGCGTTTTTATAAGTAGAGTGCCTTGGCTGCGCATCGGAACGATGCCATTTTTGGAGGGAGGCAAATGTCACGTGTGTCCCGGGAAAAAGACGAAGGCGACAGCGCATACGCGCATCTTCACGCTTTTATGCAGAACGCAACAACGAGAAAGATGAGGAACTCTCTCTCGCGCGGTTAACAAAAAGACCGACCCGCTGCTGTTTTCTCAGCGTCTTCGAGTACGACCTCTTTCTTGACGTCGCGACAATATATGTTCGAGCGTTTCTGGCAACCGACAGTGACCACTATTGGGACCTGTGTCATTACAGCCAATCAAGTGGGTGTGACGTCTCGTGTAAGCCACACCGAGGCGAATGCGGTGGATAATGCATGAGATGCTTCGCTTTAACTTGTGAGGCATACAGAACTTCATTTCCGGGCCCCATTTGTGCAGCCACTTGTGCTGGTGTTCTGGTTTCTGCCAGTGCTCTAAGATGAAAATGCGCATTACGCGTTGAAGTAGGATGTTAGTATCTTGTCGGGAAAATGCGATGCACACTTCCGGGGCACTATTTAAAGCTCTCTTAGCTTCATCGTCCTCCTCTTCATTGCCCATTATGCCACAATGAGAAGGTATCTATTGAAATATTACATGATGTCCATTTTTTGTAGCAATGCCAAGAAGCTCTGCAATTTCAATCGATAAAGTATGATATGGACATTGTCTCATGAAGCCACTGATGGTTTAAAGAGTAGCTTTGGCATCGCATAGTATCGTCCATTTACGAGCGAGTTCTGTCGACATGAAACGTATTGCCTCCCGAATAGCAACAAGTTCCGCGGCTGTTGATGTGGTCTTGTGATCTATCTTGAAACGTCGAGCTATCTTTATCTGCGGGATGACAAAAGCTGCGGCGGAGGTACGCGACGTGGTAGATCCATCAGTATATACATGCACCACACCGTCGTACATAGTATAAATGTGCAGCAGTGTAAGTTGGTTTAGGCCGATCGATCATACAAGGGACTTCCTCATAATCCCAGGAATCTTCAACATGCACCTAAATCTAAGTACAAGGCCTCAACCATTTTCGCCTCCACTGAAAATTCAGCCGTTACGGCCGAGATTTGATACAGCGTCCTTTGGGTTATCAGTTCAGTGCCACGACAACTAGAGCACCATGGCGCATAGTCACCATCACCAATACTTAGCATAGCATCAAAAGCCTACCATCAAACTGGCATCAATTCTATTTTTACATGTGTGTGTTCTGGCTGGCAGCACACACAGACGAACGAGAGAGCTTCACTGGATTGAAGCAACATCAAAAGCCCAGTGAAACAGAGAAAATGCAACCGTAGAGACGTCACAGCTGAAGGCTTCTCACACTGGTGAATGGGGCAACGTCAAAAGGACGGTTAAGCAGAGAAAATGCAACCACAGTGATGACGCAGCTGAAGTCTTCTGACACAAGTGCGATGGAAGAAACCTTCTAGCCAGTTGGACAATCATGCAATCGCGACTGATTTGTGGAAAGTGCTGTCAAATGTTATTTTAACGTGTGGGCTATACGGCTGGCAGCACACTGAGAGCCACTTAGTTAATCGAGTGAGAGAGCCACAATTGACTAAAGAAACTGCCTTCCTGGTAGTCAGGCAATGATACAGCCATAATTGCTTTTTGTAAAGTGTGTGAAGTGTAATTTTTACATGTGTGCTAAGACTAGCAGCACACAAAAGGCACTGTGTGAATCGAGCGAGAGAACTACATCATATTTTCGCGTCTGTGTGCTATGGGAGGCAGCCCAAACAGAGCTATATCTACTTGAGATGACATCACAAGTTCGACAGAATGACTATAGATAGGCGTATTTGAGAAATGCCCCTCATTACTTGTTTGGCAGTTGCTTTTGTTTGGAAGTTGCTTTTGTTTGGGGATTGTGCACCTACTTTTCAACTGTTGACTAATGAAATAGTCTGCGATTATCATCATAAGCGATGTGATAAGCAAGTCCTACATATTATTCCCTTTAAAAATCATGCACGAAGCACAACTATATTGGAGCGAAAGATTGCATAACAAGTCCATTGGAAAAAACAAACCTGTGCAAAACAGGTCAACATAAAAGGACATGAATGCGGAAATCATTTATGTGCAGATATCTTTGATGCGTAGTTGAAAGCACGGGCAGCTTGCAGTTTAATTTCAAGTTAAGATATAAAAGCTTTCAGGTGCGCACAGAAGTATATCGGAAGCCCACGTAGTCGGCTGACGGGAAATGCTTCCGGGTGGCGCACGCACGTAATACAACTATGTTGCGTCGCCTAAGCCTCTGCCAAATCCATCGTGTGAAGAAGCGGTTCGCTAGAAAGCGATATTTCCTGGAAGAAGGCATAAGATAACGTTGCTGAAACTGCAACTTCAAAATGTTTTTTTGTTTGTTTGATACACTATTACCTGTGCACTTCTCTTTCAACCGCGACACCGTTCTCCAGCATGCAGCACCGCGGAGTGTAAGCAGGCAAGGTTCTGTTTGGCGTTGCATAAGTCAGTTGCCAGACTTTTGGGTGGTTGTTGCCATACTGCCACCAAAATTAGCGAATAAATTTGCCCCTGTAGTTGTGGCTTCTTCGTGAAAGTTTGATGTCGTCTGCGGTGCATTTTACGAGTGCGTGAGCTACGTAAATGAACGTAAGACGAGTGTTCCAGAACTCGGGGCGCGTTCTCTTGCTGTGTGCGCTGCTGTGCAATTAAGAGATTGTGTCTCAGAGTTAGGGAATCAACAACGCGTCGTCCGCCGTGCATTTAACGAGTGGGATGAACGATTTCGCGTGTGTGTGACGTAATTAACGTAATGAACCGTGCGTTACAGAAGTCAGGGCCCTTTCTCTTGCTATGTGCGCGGCTGTGCAATTAAGAGATCGCGGCTCAGTATTACAAACGATGCCCCCCCCCCCTCTTTTTTTTTTCTTTCACAGCTGATCGTGCCGCGTTGACGGCGTGCCACAACGGGGACGCTACGCTTCCCCTAGCTGTGACAGCACAAGACATATCGTTCGGACTCGTGTAATGTGACGAATAAACGTCCCAAGGCTGGCTAATTGGGGTACGTCGGATATGCTACGGCTTATATACGCCTGGAAGGCTGCTTTATCGACGCAGTTGAAGCAAATTAAGCGCGACTCGCGAGTACCTGTAAATAGGACCCCGCCGATCAGCCACAGTCGCTTGCAGGGCCCTACCCGCAATAAGCACAAACGACCAAAATTCTAAATACTGAATGCTTATGCGGGGTCCCATTGGGCTGGGAGAGGACAAAGCAGCCGGCGTCACAGGTACAAGTAACCCCAGGTGCAGGACGCTCCAGCTGAAAAGTCACAGCATGTGATAATCGCCGGCGACTCGAATTTAAATCGATGCACAGAAGCCATCAAAGAGAGGGTAAGAGGTGACAAGAGGGTTGCAGTAGGGGCGTTCCCAGGACGCAAGCTAAAAGCAGTCATGAGGCAAGCGAGCGCAAAACTCAAAACTACAGCTGATAGACGAAACCTCGTGATAACTTCAGGTGGTTTAAACGATGTCTTAAATGAAGATACAGCAGGACTAGCAACCACACTGGTGAAAGGCATCAATGACATGCGGGCCACTTCTCCTCAGGTACAGGTAGTGATATGCACGATACCAGAGGTATCAGTGCGTGATAGCAACCTGCAAAGAGCGGTTGTCAACGCAAACCAAGAGATATGGCGGATGAGTCGAGAGAAAGGCTTTGAGGTGGTGGAAATAAATAAAGAGGTGCATAGGTGGGGTGGTTTTCAACGAGACAGAATTCACTTCGATGGGCGGCTAGGTCATGAGGTGCGTTGGCAACTTGCAGGACGCGCAGTAGCTTTTTTGGGGGGCAAGCGGGCCGTTCGGGATGCAGGATAGCTAGTAACGAGGAATACAACCAGGGAGACTTTTTGACAGGTGGTATGGACAGATATGATTCCAAAGTGGCACCAGTATCTAAGATAGGTACAGTCCCTGGCAGAAATATACGTGGCCACAAGCGCCGAGCCAATTGAGACATAGGATATATTAACATGCAGGGTGGTAGGAACAGGCTGAAGTAAGAAGAGACAGAACAGCTATGGGAGGAGAGGTCGATGGTATATGGTTTTGTAGAAATACATCTCAGGGACATGGAACAACCTCCTAACAATGCAGACTACGCGTGGGAATCTTGTAATAGAGTAGAAGGCAGCAGAAAGGAGGGTGGTATTGGGGCATTCATTCATAAAAGTACAGAATGGCAAAGGGTAAAGCAGGAGTGCAAGGAACATTTATAGCTGAAAGGGAAAGTGGCAGGGCAAATGACACTCCTTGGTTTAGTGTACTTGTGGACGGCAGCAAAGGCCAAAGAAGAAAACCAGGCAATGGTTTTCAGGCAATGACAATCAGGAGTTAGGAGGAGAGTGCGAGATAATTATACTAGGAGATATGAATGCGCACATAGAAGATATAGATGGGTATACCGACCCGACAGGCCAAATGCTTTTAGATATGTGTAAAAGGCTTGATTTGATCATTTGCAATAGTACCGAGAAGTGTGAAGAGCAACACACATGGGAGGTAGGAAGGCTGCAGTCGACAATAGATTACGCACTGATGTCACATAGGATGTATGATAAGCTCAGGGGAATGCACATAGATGAAGGCAGCTCCAGAAGTCTGGGTAGTGATCACAAACGTATCAAGCTAAGTTTTGGAAGAGAAGTGAAAGTGAGAAGGAGACAAGATGAGCAACTACAGAAAATTTTTTATTTAGAAAGGCAAATTGAAATAGCAACTAAACAAACTGAGAAAGTAATTCCTGAGGATAATAAAACAGTGTGGACATACACAAATCTAATTAGACTGTTTGAGCTAGAGCTTGCTAAGGCTCGTGACAAGTCACCCCGGAAAAGAAGACACAAACCCAAAAATTGGTGGAATGAGAAAGTTAAGAGAGCCATAGCAAAACGTCAGGAAGCCTCTAGGGAACACAGACATGCTAAGAAGTGGGGTGATCCGACAAAAGATGTTGAAAAAAAAAAGGGAAATCTTTTCAAGTTGTAAAAGGGATGCATCCCTTCTGATCAATGAAAAGGTTAGAAGAAAGGGAGCCCAATGGCTGGCAGAAGTACAAAAAAAAAAGATAGAAAGGGAGCTGCGAAATTTTTCAACCATCTAAACTCCCTAAGACATGAGACGAGCCTAAAGCAGAGGTTTATAAATACAGCTCAAGGTGCTAGGCTAGAAGGGGACGAAGCTATTAAATATATAAGAACAAGGGTGACAAAAAATTTTAACAAAGAAGTGCTGTATGCACCAAAAAAGACAAGGATGAATCAAGTGGTGCAATGGTTCCATTTTCACAACAAGAGTGGGAAAGGGCTGAGAAAAGGGTTCCTAGTAGTACATCAACAAGCCCAGATGGCATTCCAATTATGCCGATAAATACATTAGGTTCGAAGTCTAAAAAGACTTTTAGAGAGGCAGTGAGTAAAATAATAATCGATGGAGAAGTTTCCGATGGATGGAAACTTAGCAGGATGAGCACGATCTATAAAGGAAAGGGGGACAAAGCTTACGCAAACTACCGTCCTATAACAGTGACATCAGTGGTCTGCAGGCTGGCGATGCAGATTATGAAGGAAAGACTACAGGCATGAATAGAGGATGAGGGGGTGCTGGGGCAACTGCAGAATGGGTTTCGGAAACACAGGAGGTTGGAAGAGAATTTGTTCTCACTGACGCAGTGCATCGAAATAGCAGAAAAAGAACACAGGCCCCTGTGGCTAGCATTTTTGGATATCAAGGGAGCGTACGATAGCGTGGTTCAAGAGGACTTGTGGGGAATACTAGACACACTAGGCGTGGAAGATGTAGTCACTAATCTTTTAAAGGATATCTATAAGGGTAACGAGGTAGTTATAAAGTGGGAAAAACAGGTATCCAAGTCTGCAGAGGTAAAACGGGGGCTTAGGCAGGGGTGTCCTCTATCACCCTTATTACTCATGATATACCTACAAGGATTAGAGGCCAAATTAGAGAAAAGTGGACTGGGCTTCAAATTCTCTTTCGTCAAACAAGGAAAACTCATTGAACAGGCACTACCAGCATTGATGTACGCAGATGATATAGTGCTAATGACTGACAACAAAGATTTGCAGAAATTGGTGGACATCTGCAGTAATGAGGCAGATAGGTTAGATTTCAGATTCAGTAAATGAAAATCAGCAGTCATGAATCTTAATGACGATGAAGGTAGTGAGCTTAGAATACAGGAGGTCACGCTAGAGATAACAGATAAATACAAATATCTGGGCGTATGGATAAGCAATGGGGACACGTACCTAAGAGAACACGAACCATACGTGACGACTAGAAGTAACAGGAATGCAGTGGTAATGAAAAACAGGGCACTGTGGAATCACAATAGGTATGATGTTGTGAGAGGAATATGAAAAGGGGTCATGGTTCCTGGTCTGACGTTAGGCAAGGCAGTCTTGTGCATGAGATCAGAAGTTCAAGCAAGACTAGAAATTAAGCAACAGGGAATAAATAGGTAGGCTTGCCTTAGGAGCTTTCGAGAATACACCAAATCAAAGAGTACAAGGTGATATGGGATGGACATCATTTGAGGGCAGGGAAGCTAGCAGCAAGATAAAATTTGAGAAGCGATTGAGAGAAGTAGGGGAGAAGCGTTGGGCAAGGAAGGTTTTCAGCTACTTGTACATGAAGAATGTTGATACAAAATGAAGGAAGCAAACCAGAAAATTGACTGGTAAATACTTGGAAAACAGCAGGGGGCCAAACCAAAAAGAATTATCGGTTAGGAAGAAGGTGAAGGAAGCTGAGACCGACATTCGGAGAATTGGCATGATTAAGAAGTCCGCACTAGAGATCTATCGAACTTTTAAGCAGGAAATTGCCAAGGAAAGGATCTATGATAATACTCGGAATAGTTCTCTACTGTTTGAAGCCAGGACAGGAGTATTGCGAACCAAGACATATCGGGCCAAATACGAAGGGGTAGACACAGTATGCAGTGCGTGTGGAGAGGAAGAAGAAACTGCAGAACATTTGATATTGTTCTAGAAAGGGCTTCACCCTATAGTTCAGGATGATGGCGCAGAGTTTTTCAAAGCACTGGGGTTTAGGGACAGTGAGGGCAAAATAGACTTTAAGCGGGTGGAATTAACTAGAAGGAGGTTATCTGATTGGTGGCTAAAGTCAAGGCACGAGTGAAAATTAAACCCTTCAGTGCAATCCTCAACCTCACTATTTAAGGGGAAAAAATAAGTCAAGTTTTTGGTTCATTAAGTATTACGGCTTGGTGGCGCTAGGCACCGCCCGATCTAAAGGGTACAGCTATATCCATCTATCCATCCATCCATTTTCAAAATGAAGGAGGGAAAGGGTGTGGCACATGGAGGAAGGAAAGTTAAGGAGAGGCCCTGACGTCACTCATTTTGAAGCCGCGATGAAGCCGGAAGTCGGCCATATTGACT